AACTGTCAGTCTTCTGTTACGAGACGGAGCAGAAACTGCATTGGTTTGAGTGTGAAATCCCGTTCACAGCTCTAGGAGTAAAGCAACCTTGTTAGGATCTGATTTAGAGCGCCACAGCGGTGCCAAGACACATCTGAATGAAAGAGCGAGAAAGTGTGAGACTTCACACAGCTTTAGAGTCCGTGAACGTCAATCACCTCGCCTGTGCTTTGCTTCACTTTTGGCCAAAAATAAGAAGCGCTATGTAAGCACCACAGCAGAGATGGCCCTGGGGCCACGAGCGCCACAGGAGCCGTGGATGGGAGGAGAATGCAGATCTACAGCGTCACACGGAGCCATGCTTCTCCAGTGCGGCTGTCATTGCACACGTTTCATATGAAATCACTTCTTTTCAGGTCACCCCAAAGTGTTTACCAAGACAACAACATGGAAAGAAGAAAACTTTGTTAAATGTATTACTGAAACACCACATATTGTATATGTGACCTGATATCAGATTCCAAAAAAAAATTTTATTTATTGAAATGATCTGTGAACTTTTAAAGGATTTGGAAAACCCACAATCACATATTTTTTGGGAAGAAAAATAATTAATATAACTAAGAGGTTTGGAAAGACTAACTGAAGCATACTCACCTGTGTTATGTTTGATTTTATAAAATCATAATATTATACAGACCACAAATGATTCTGCAATTATGACTGTAATTTTTATTTTATTTTTATTTATTCATTTATTTTATTATTATTATTATTTAATTTATTTATTTTTGATATTGATATGTTCATTTGTAAATTTGTGCATTATTCTAAAGTTTATCTACTTACTTATTTTGTATGTTATTATTATTATTATTACTACTACTGTTGGTGATATTTATTATTATTTTATGTCTATTTTAATTTATTTATTTAATTTTATTAATGTTGGATAATGTTTTTTTTTTTACAATTTTGCAATAGTGCGAAGCTTTTTGTTAACGCTTTGGAAATATTACAAAATTTAAAAAAAATTACAAAGAAAGTTTTTACTACATAAAACTACATTTTTACTTCATAAAACAGTAAAAACTAATAATAAAATAGTAATATTTTTAAAAATATTATCAAATGAAGATATTACTGTTTTCAAAACACAGTTATGCTGCTTACTTTTGGTGGATTTATTTATTTATTTGTTTTCACTTTTGAGTTTAATGCACCTTTTCTTGATTAAAAGTAAGTAAATAAGTATGTATGCATGTATTCATTTTTATTTATTTATTTATTTCACCCCAAACTTTTGAACGATATTGTACATAATCGAAATAAATAATAGAAATAATTAAAATGCTATCAAATTGTGACCTTCACAAATTGTCTGAACATCTTGACAGACAAACGGATAGACAGGACAGTTTTTGTTTCTTCCCATCAATGCAAAAAAAAAAAAAAACAAACACACACTAGTTTAGTTTAATGCACCTTTTCTTGATTAAAAGTAAGTAAATAAGTATGTATGCATGTATTCATTTTTATTTATTTATTTATTTCACCCCAAACTTTTGAACGATATTGTACATAATCGAAATAAATAATAGAAATAATTAAAATGCTATCAAATTGTGACCTTCACAAATTGTCTGAACATCTTGACAGACAAACGGATAGACAGGACAGTTTTTGTTTCTTCCCATCAATGCAAAAAAAAAAAAAAACCCAGACACACTGTAATTTGGAACAATTTCCGTATAGCGAGACGTGTTTAAAATATCCCCAATACCTGCAGTGAGAGAAGAATAACATGCTCTAACTGTAAATATTACTCTGTAGGAGTGGAATGCATTCATTCTGGGTTGGCACTGGGCTGGCATGAGCTGGCAGTGAAGTTATATTTGGTTTTGGAGTCAAGTGGCATTGAATAGCAGTGTTATGATGGTGGCAGTGATGCAGTAGAGACCGCACACAAACACAGCTGTCAACAAAAGAGTGGGAGGCAAATGATTTGGCAGCTCTGAGCAATACTGTGGTCAAAATAACTGGGGCATAATAAATAAATAAAGTAATATAGAAGAATTGTGCATGATCCAAAAATATATTACGACAAAAAATGGTTATAGCTGAAAACAAGATTGTTCCCCTCAGCTGAACTTGAGATTTCTATTAAAAAAAAAAATATATATATATATATATATTCTTGCTTGCCAGACTTGAGTTCTGTCAAGGATCTAAAGATGATGTGGCATCAAAAATCATAGAAACAAGCATCAGCCAATAAAACTAAATGAATCTATTTAATTCCAAATAAATCCAATAAAATAAAATCTGACTGTGACATGCGACGAAAATTTAGCATAAAACCAAGCTGTCAAAATCAACATCTGCAGGGTAATTCTACAAAACTAGTCCCATTTGTGTCTTCCTTATGAAGTACATATGTAAAAATGATTTTTAACAATGATTAACTGATGTCAGCTTTCACAGTGTCAACAGACATTTTGATAAACTTATCAACAAAAATACAATAACTTTATTTGACTTGTTATGCATTTTTTTCTAAAACAGCTGTTTACAACTTAATGCTATATTAGCAAACATGCAAATGTAAGAAATATAAGAAAATATAAGGAAATAAAAGCTATAATATAATATAATATAATATAATATAATATAATATAATAT